ACAGTGAAAGCCAGCTGGACTGCATCTGCGAAGGACCTTCAATGGATGATGAGTCCTTCCTGCAAGTCTACAAGAGCAAAATCCCTCGTCAACTATTCGCATGGACCACAATCCTGCCAGATGTGGGCTGCGGGAAGTGTCGAACTGGATATTTTGCCAACACTGGATATCAACAACAGTGCGGTGGACCAAGCCAGAAGCTGAGGACAGCTTCACTGCTGAGGGGGAGGCAGTGTGGCGTCGAATCAGGGCGCAGACATGTTGGACCACCTGGCCTCAGCCAATCCTGTGTTCCTCTGCGTTCCAATGGCATGCGAGGAATATAAGCAGCCAGCCAGAGAAGGACATGGATGAGATGCAGCATATAATGAGCGGCGTGGCCAGCGTGGAGGACTCGAATGGAAGACGCCTGACGCGTGGCTATGGCTTCTGAACGGTCAGTAAAGCCTGTTCTATTGTACCGGTCTTTTTCCTAATAGGGCTCGTTATGTGGCGTCGGATTAGGGCGCAGACATGTTGGACCACCTGGCCTCAGCTAATCCTGTGTCTCTCTGCGATCCAATGGCATGCGGGAAAGGAAGGCAGCTAACCAGAGAAGGACATGGATGAGATGCAGTATATAATGAGCGGCGTGGCCAGCGTGGCGGACTCGGATGGATGGCGCCTGACGCGTAGCTCTGGCTTCTGATTGGTCAATAAAGCCTGTTCTGTTGTACCGGTCTTTTACCTATTAGGGCCCGGGTATTCTACAGTTATTCTACAGTGGCGCCGGATTAGGGCGCAGACATATTTGACCACCTGGCTTCAACCAGTCCTGTGTCTCTCTTTGTTCCATTGGCATGCGATGAAGATAAGCAGACAGCCAGAGAAAGAAACGAATGAGGTGCAGTATAAAAAGAGCTTTGTGGCCAGCGTGGTGGACTCGGATGGAAAGCATCTGACGTGTAGCTCTGGTTTGTGATTGGCCAATAAAGCCTGTTCTGTTGTACCAGTCTTATTCACACTTGGGCTCGGGTATTTTACCGTGGCGACGAAATAAGCGCAGAAATATGCGACCACGCTGGTTTCAGTCAATACTGTATCTCTGTGATTCAATAACATTCGACAAAAATAGGAAGCTGACCAGAGACAAACCAAAATGAGAAGCAGTATATAAAGAGCGGGCATTCAACGAGGACATATACTGTCAGGCAACAACGCAGACGCATTGAAAATATACGAGGTCAGCCAAAATTATTTCTCTGTGCATCCGAAAAGGTTGCAAGGAAGAAATTAGAGCCAAAAGGAGAAAAGGGAAATTGTGCGATGTTTACAAAAAAAAGAGCAGAAAAACAGATATAGAAAGAAAAAAATTGCTAAAATAGATTTTAGATATTGAAAGAAGAAGGAAGGAGAGTATGTTGAAACAGCATAATTAAAAGAAGCAATTGCAAAATAAGCAACACATTGTAATAAAAATCACACAAGCCTGGATGCAGTAAATATTATTCAAAAAGACACTAAAAAAACGAAAAATTGTCACAAAAAAATTAGAAAAATTGATTAAAAAATTACGGGAATACAAGGAGAAGAAATAAGACGGATTAAAAAACAATGCGGAAAAAATTAAGAATAAAATGAAAAATCGTGATACACAAAAATAATAAAATAGCCTGCAAAAAATATTATAAACAGGGTAAAAAAACTAGGAACAAATGGCCACGAAAGACCGAAATAAAGCCGAAGAAAATTTATATATGGACAATAAAAAGCTCGAAGCAGAGGGTGTGTGAGTAGGTGTGCGGAGGAAAGTTGCATGATGTGTAGCCAGGAGAGTGGGCCGTAGTTGGTGGCGCACGTGGCAG